AACAAAAAAAATTATACCAAATGAGGCCATAGCTGACAAATAAGACAGCACAACAAAGAACATTGAAAGGAGCAACAACTAAAATAAATAAATAAAGATTTTTGTTATCATAAAACATAGGGGTGTCAAAATGGGTCAATGGATCGGGTTATGGTCCAACCCAAATTAACCCGGGTCTAAATGGGTTGACCCTAACCCGACTCATTTTTGTAAACGGGTCAGGATTTTCAACCCGCACCCTACCCGTGCGAGTTCGAGGCGAGACCACTAGTGGTCGGGCTATGCTGTCTGTGGCTAGAAGGCAAGCACGATTAGCGAGCTCAGCTGGCGAATGGCGAGCATTGGAGGCAAGCGCGAGATGCACCACGGCTGCAAGCTAGGTTTTATCCTTTCGGGGTTAACACGGGTTGATTTTGGGTGGTCAGGTCAACCCGAATCAGACCCTATTTTAAAAATAGGTTGAAATCTCGAACCCGAACCCAACTTTTTGGATTAGATCTGAGTCAGATTTCGTGTTAGATCAAATTTTGATACCCCTAATAAAACATAGAGCAAATGTTAAATATATATTGACAGGTAATGCTTAGTATTTACTCTATTTATTTCTTTATTTGAACATTATATGACACAATTTATTACCTTACTGCTCAGAACTCCGAAGTGGTTTGGTAATTCGTGCAAAAAAAAAATTCAAAATTCATTTTATTTAGTGGCCAATCACGCATTTTTAAGCAAAAATTTACTATTATCTATTTTTTTAATTGGGTCAAATAAATATAATTTTCTTAGAAAGTGTGACAATTTTCATATAAATATTAAATTTAGTAGATAATTTAGTGCGACCATTTCTTGAAAGTTTCAGAAGTCTGTACAGTGCACTGACCCAAATGAGCAGTTGCTCGTGGAATAATACTCTTCACTGCTGGCCTTAATATTTCGAGATTTTTGTCGGGCCCACCTGCATTTTTGGCGCCTTTCTAATTTAAATACAAGATCTAGCATGCATATAAGAGAAAATAATATATTTCTCTCATATATAAAAAATGTACAAGTGAACCTTTGCTCTTCCTTGTTCTCCTTTGGTGGTGATGATTGGTTGAATATACTAATAATTAATTTTTTTTTTTTAGGGGGGGCACGTGCCCCCCTTGGCCCCCCCTTCCCTCCGCCAATGATCGTAGTCGTGTCGTATCTTCGTCCAAATTTCTTCCCTTAGGAGTTATCATGTCAGTGACATTGCAGGTTTCTTTATTCAATATGCTAAGCACTATATTTTGATTCTTTATTTGACAATATTTGAATAATGTCTTAATTAGGCAGATATTTTAACTCAATATATAAACTGTTCAATCACATCTTTGAATATAGTTCAATTATAGAATGAGTATATTCAATCCTGATTTGATTATTATTCAATCATGTAATGTTCAATCAATATACTCAGGGTTGAATATACTCATTCTATAATTGAATTATATTCAAAGACGTGATTGTATATTTGATTCGGAATCCCAAATCCTTCAAGGAGGTTTTTGTCTGGCTCTGATGCTTCTAAGGCTTTTCTGGATCTACAAGTTTCTACGATTCAGGATATAGACAATATTTGATAGTGCTCCAAATCCCAAATCGCAAGCATAAGGCTTCAACAAATATGAAGAATAGACAATATAATATGAAACTAGATGAGATGCACTGCTTTGGTGAAGCACTATCAATTCCATCAAGTAAGTTACTTATGGATGATGATCTTAATTTTTTTCTTGTATAAGATTTCTTTATTCATTAAACATTGGGCTTCAATAACTATCAACACTGCTCTTAAGAAGGTTTCAACTATAGTTCCTTATATAAATGATGATTATGCAAGATCAATAAACTCACCATAGTATGCTTGTGTAAGCCATGATATGGACATTTCACATGGCAAAATTGAAAATTTTTTAAATTAAATTTAGGATATTTATGTGAAATTTGAATTATAAAAATTTTAAATTAATTTCAGGATCATCGAGATTCCATTTTTAGTAAACTTATAATCAAAATGAATATTTCGATGAGACTAACAGAATAATACAAAAAGTGAAAGCTCAACTCAATCACTTAAAGTGTAGTTAAAAAACTTGTGACATTAATTAAAGGATCAAATGATCCCTAAATTTTACGTGCTTATAGTCAAAATATGATTTTCGATAAGAGTAATACAATAAGTACAAGATTACTATGAGGTCATTAAGATATTTAAATACTAAAAGATCAATTAACAATCAATGAATCAACATAGGATGTTCTATGGAGTGTTTAGGAATTTTGGCTAAAATGATTAAAATATCGCTCCTAAAAATTATATAGATCATAAATCCTCACATTAAGGGAAGCTTGGATGTTGAGTTAAATTTGAAGAGCACTTAGACATTTGAATAATATTATAGCTTTGTTCAACGATCAATAACAACCGCCAGCAATTACTATAACCCAATCATTGTCATCCAACTACAGTCATCACATGATCATCATCGCTGATCTCTATTGCCTAACTAATGTCTACTAACTATCAGCGTCTGATAAACCACAAGTAGTGAAAGAGTAATATAACATAAAGCCCTCTCTCTCTTATCATTTGAGCCATGAAATAGCATTTTATCATAGCATAATTTTTATGTGTCTGCATTGAGGTAGACGAGAGTTTTTAGATTTATTATGTTGACTGATACATCACATTTAACTTAAAGTTATCAATATTCACTATTATATAGAGTGGATGATTGTGGTTAATAATTTTGATGAGCAAGTACTCATAAGAAGATATAATCTAAGAATTTCCTTTAAGTATAGAGCTTCCTCAAAGGAACCCTCTATGGGTTGAGCAAACTAATTAAATATTTGGACCAAGAAAAGCTTTGATTAAAGACTTTGCAATTTAGGAGAAAGCATGAGAGCATCAAGAATGCTTAAACTCACAAGGAGTTTCCTAAGCTAAGCTAAGCTAAGTTGTAGTCCATTTTAGGTGATCCACTATTCACCCGCTTTGTAAAGAAACAAAGGTACCGGTGGTGGAGCAATTCTTAATATATAGTTTGTTTATATTTATCTTTGTTTGATATCATTCGAGTGGTAAAATGCAAAGAGCATTTCTAAAGATGACTTCCACAATTTATTCAGGCTTTAACATAATAGTTACATCAACAAAAACTCCATTACAACTGATAAAGATCTTATCACTATTTTAAATTCTACAATAAAGGAGTGGTCTCCCATAAAATCACCTTAACAAACTCCTATCCTAGATCCACTAAATACAACTTGGGGATATCCATTCTTCCCACTTTGCGCTCTTCTTCAATCTAAAATTGAAAGATAAAAATCCTCGACCAACATCCGATAATAAAGAAAATAGTTTGATTCATTGAACTTATCGACTTTTACTAGCTTATTGGGTTTGTGTAATTGAAAATTGTCACTTTTTATCATGAATTTGAAGATTTTTACCACTACCTCTCTTATAAAAGAGATGTTTGTTGATATTCTTTGAATGGTTCATAAGATTGGGCGTCTTTATTGATTTTTCTTTCTACTTTGGTTGCTCTTTCGTAACCTTTATTTTCTTTAAATTTCTCAACCACTAGATCTCTCATTATGATGTGACGTTGAACTCCAACAAATATTTTAATGAATAGGGATTCTAACTCTACAAAAGTTTTCATTGAGCTATTTGACAACTTAGCATACCAATTAAATGTAACTATTAACAAATTGCTCACAAAATGTCAAAATAAAAGTGCATCACTGCCCTCAATATTGCATCATATGACGAAGTTTGAGTGTGACCCTACTTAAGGGGTGAGATCTTTGAAGGACCATGTGGATTTGATAGAGAGGCTACTATCCCTTCTACATATTCTTCACCCTCTATTATAAGTAGTGCATGAACCCTACTACCTTCCAACAAAAAAGAGAATTTATGTGTTAGACTAAAAGCCCAATTATTTTTGTTTAATTTATTTAAGTTTTTTTTTGGAAAAAATTTGGGCATAGCCCGTATATTATTCTCAGAAAAAGTTACAAGTAAACCACATGATTACAAAAACCCTTGGAAAACAAGGAGCAGCTCATCCGAGCACAAAAATAAGCTCGAATCAGATCAAGCAATTAGATAATCTAAGCAAATCTAAGCAAGACACCAAAAAGAGCTCCACAATAATAAAACACCTGGACTCAGAGATATAAAATAATCATCGAATCTAATTTGCTGATTTTTCATGTAGGCTTACAAAAATGATTACTCCAAATTTTCTCTTTAGAATGAGGTCCACAGCCTCATTGAACTCATTTCATCTTCCCTCCCTTCTAACTTCAACAAATGATTCACAAATAATTGGGAAATTACTTCATCCCTATCAATTTTCCTTTTGATTCATCTAATAAGTCTAAATTTACACCTTAATAGAAGTTAAAAAATATATTCTTTTCAATAAATTTTTTATCTTTTCACCATCAACCAAATAATTTCATCCCATATAGTAGAATAAATCCATCTCCTATCATCTCTGTTAAGAAATTTTTGTATTAAGTGATAGTATTGTTCCCTTATTGAGGATTTCTAATTTTAGATAAAATCTCAAAGCCCTAGGTACGATTTTAGAGGTTCTGGTAAGGGAACTGGCGGCCTACTAGTAAAATGGCAGCCTCTCTAAAATCTGGTAAGTACAATACCCTCTGTTTTAGAAGACGCGCGTAGCACCCAATGATATCCATCTATTAACACAGAAGTTGTTGGCTGTCGCACAAACTTCTTGTTCCTCCTAACAGGTTGGAGAGTCAAATTATTAGAATCAGATTTTTCCTCCTTTAAGATCTCCTTCTCAAAACGATGAGAGATAACTCCTTTCAAGCTTTTAACATGCTACTTTCCTAAACTAAAGCATATTTATTAAACTACCAAATTTCCTTTATTGTCTTCCAAAACATGTATATTTTTCTTATCTAACACCATGGAATTGATATTAAGGCAAGCCATAATAATATAACTTTGCAATTTCTCAAGTTCTTCAGTTAATTTTTTGCTCTTGTTTGCAAGGATTGGCACAACTATGTAAAAGAGTTTGATGACCCATTCATAGAGCTTACAGGTACAAAACCTCTTATGGTAGATAAGTTTGCATGAGATAACTCCAACCATGGTGAAGAAATTCAGTATCACCAGAAACCTTGCTCTGATACCATGAACAAAAATCAAATTTGGTGATAAATTCATTCATATCCATTCATCCTGAAACGCGCACCTGACACAAATATATCAGGCATTGTTCAGCATACAACTTCAACAACAACGAGAAATTATTCAGTACAGAGTCCGGACACAGAGTTGTATCCGAACATGTGAGCGTACACAGTGTGTATTCATTATGTACACATTGCGTACAAAAATCAAAGGACACGGTGTATATAAATTATGTACACTCACAGCCCAAACACAACTCTGCATCCGGATTCCACACACAATAATTTCTCCTCTAACAACAGATCACTACAACATCCTCAAAAAGAAAGCGAAGAAAAATAAAAAAAGTATAAACATTCAGAAACTTTAAACAAATTATCAAGATAATATTTAAATCTAGTTCTTTAGATATTAAAAATTTAAAAAGAAACAATTAAGAGCACAAAATGGATATCATTAAGAATCCAAACAAAAGGACATGCAATTCCTCTAATCAACTCGTTTTCCATGTATTCCAGCAATCAAAATCTCCTGGTAGCTTGCATCTCACTTCAAATTAATTTGCAGAGTAGGATAAGGCCATCAAACCTTAGTATTATGAGATGAAAGTAACTATTGAGAGATTCATCTTCATGAACTGTAATCAGTATTCTGTTTCCAAGACTCCATCAATGAGTCCGAATTCCAATGCCTGAGAGAGTAGGAAAGTTATGTCACAGACTGAGTGGCAGGATTTTCCTTTTCAGTTTTTTCCAATTCAAAGCTGAAACAGTATGGCCCAAGGAAATAGCAATAAAGGGAAAACAAATTGGGTGATGGATATGTGACCAAAATTTGATTAGAATGAGTTTTTAAACTCTTGAATTTATTTTGAGACAAATGCAATTACCTTGATGAAGGTCTCAAAGCAAATATAAGAGTTTTAAGAAATTAATTCTAACTAAGGCTTCGTTTGGGATAACTTTCTAAAACAGTTTTAGAGTACAAAAACTTTAAATTCAAGAAATTCTTGTACTAAAAAGCTGTTTTAAAAATCAAAAGAAAAACCGTCCCAAACAAGCTTAAATTTTAGTCGGGACATCCTGACCCAATTTTTCTTTACAAAATAACGTACCTCCGAGACTGACAAGAAGCGATCCCTTTCAGTGTACTGTTGCACCTTCTCTAAAGGTTGGTTGGTAAAAGCAGCATACATTTTATCTATTTTCTGAAAGGATGAACTCTGCTTTAGTTATTTCAATTTGCTACCCTGTTCCAAAAGAATAACACAAATCCTACTAGAATTCAAGATAAGAAAATTCTTGATGGTACATATCAAGGGAAATAGGTTCTCTCTTCAAGTTTGCCTATTTTTTGTACAAACAGATGATCAAACAAACCAATCATTTAGATTTGGCACTTTGAATAACATGCTACCTTCTCCCCGTCTATGATAAATCATGGCATTTTTGAGTTTCACTGCATTTTGAAGTGAAAAATGGGATTTTCGATTGGAGATGCCCTTAGGGGGCCCGACTGCGATTTACCAATTTAACTTTGTTATTAAAGAATATACATCATAAAAATCTCAATTCTGCCGCACCCAGCTTCTTGTGGTTTTCTGGTTAACTCAAATTTCAATTTCCTGCTATTTCATGAGGTTCTGCTAACATGAACCGTGCTTGAGGCATGTCCTACTCATACAACCATCTTTATTTATACAAGCTATATCATCCTTATTTTAAAAGATATGAAATCAGGAAACCAACATTATTTATAATTTAAAAAAATTATAGAAAAAAATAAATTAACTAATGATGACATCTGAACAATACCAATGTGTCATCCATAATGAGATGATCATCAATTCATCATCCATTGCTTTATTAGTTAGATGCATTTATAATATTTATTTTATTTCTTTAAATAATTTAAGTTCTTTTTTTAATTTGCAAATATTTACGTAATTACACCCAAATACATTTTCCTTCAAAAGGTACCCAAGGGCATACTAATGGAATGACAAAATTGTATATTGCTTCTTGCAGCTCTCTCTCTCTCCCTTGCCCGTCTATCTTGCTCTCAACTCTCCTTCACCTTTCTTTCCACTTAACGCTAAAACCCTTCTGCTCCATAAAAACTACCCCAGATCGACAAGAATCATAGCAAATAAATAAGGATCTAAAGGTTTCTCTCCCCTGCTACATCAATTTCAGTATAAGAAAAAAGCGATTGCATCGTGAAGGAATGAAAAAGATCTTTGGCTCTTCTCCGCGACTTCTCATTATCCTGTTGTCTTTGACATTCACCTGACGAAGAACTCCTACCACTACCAACAACAGCATAACAACCATCATACCCTAAATAAGCTCTCCCCACCATCCTGCAGCCACCGAACAAGCCTCATATAACAGAGAAATTATTCTGTGGGAACGTCAAATGCAGCTCTACATCCGGAGAGCAACTAGAATGAACCACATCAGCAATACCGAGCGCGGTACCGAGCAATACCGAGCCATGGTACCGAGCAGTATGACTACCGAGCTGCGGTGCTGACGTGACTCATTCTGGTTGATCTCCAGATGGCGTTCGGCGTCCGCACAAAATAATTTCTCCTTATAACAAGCTAACCTTCCCTTACCATTCCAGAATTCAAATTTCATTCTCCATCTATTTCACAACCATTTGCACAATATCTTCCATATTTTCATCCATAACATCCTCCACCAAAATCCTCCATATCCGATGTTTAAATTCCAAATATATACTTCAACTTTTGAATTTCAATTTTTTTTTTTTTAATTCAAACGTTTATCCTAGTTTCATTTGGATGAACCAAATCACGGAATACCTAAACCGGACCATCTCGAATTGATCCAAGCTATCAACCTGCCTTCTTTGGGCTGAAATCAGATGTACGGACGCCAAATTTCTACCATCCACAATGACCAGCCAACAATGGGAATTGGCTTTTGCTTTGCATCAGTTTCCTGTCCCATTTACAATAGAACATAATGCACTGTCTAGAAGTATAAGAAAAATAACATAATCTAAAAAATAATACAACAACATCATCATACAACCTTTATCCCATTACATAATCCAAGAAATATAAATAACAAAATTTTCTAAAATATTATGCTAACAAGAACACTTCACCTAAAGCCAGAGCATATATATCAATGATCTTTAGCTTCTTATCATTCTTGTCAATAGCAAATAACACACCATAGCATAAAGGTTTCGGTGAATTCTAAACATGGTACAAAATATTAAAAAATTATAGATAAAAATACAGGTAAATATGAAAGACTATTAGACAAAAGAGAAACTATAATGATAATAAAAGCATGCAAAGTGATAATTAAGTTCAAGAGCTCAATGCCTCAACTTCAAAATATTACAATTTTTTTCAAGTTCAATGCTTTTTAGGAAACTAAAGCAAGTCGTTTTGAGAATTGTCATCATCATCATGAGTCAAAAAAAGTCTCTTTCCTTCATCAACATCATAATAATCTCCTAAATTGTAATGATCTACATCACCCTCATCATCTTTAGTTTCATTTGCAAAGTGTAAAGTATAGATGAAAATTATTTCACTTTTAACTTTGATCACGCTCGAATATTTTAGTTTCATAAATACCACTAGTTTTTGCAATAGCCAAACACTTCTCACTAATAACTAATTTATTATATTATTATGACATTTTCAAGTTAGCAAACTCATTAGCATCATCTATATCATTTAAAAATATAGGGTCAATAATGTTGTTAACCCATACACTAAGAAACACTGAAAAAGAGCGAAAACGGCAATGCGAGCGACAATTGGCGGGCGTGATGCATCACCAAAGTGGTCAAACGACCTAAGATTGCCAAACGGACAACACCGTTGTGATCGAAGCGTAGAATTTACCTAAAAGGAGCCCCTTGAACTCAAATCAGACAAAAACAGTCAAAATCGATGACAGACACTAGAAACATACATCTATCCTCCCCATTTTTCACAACATGATCCAGAATTAATTCAGAGTAAAAATAAGAAAACTTCATTCTAGCAATGCCAAATATTACTTTTATCATACCTTATCCTCCTACTTTCAAAAGGAAAGTATCTTTAATTAATCTTCCTAAATTCACACCCCTCAACAAAACAAAGTTGCTGAAAGAAAAAAATGACCACCTTCTTGCCTCCACCCGTGCACTTCTATTTCACCACAATGAACTCAAATCCTACTGGGGGAAACCCTTCTGATTCCATATATCTAATAAACCGACTACCTTCAAAAACCTTGAACTAAAAAACATCAATAAATATTTTGTCCTCTTTTATCCCGAAGTCCAAACTCATAACAACATCACACCAAAAATCTTTAAATGAACTAATTATGTTCACATTCACAACCAAAATATAAAAAATTAGATCCATGAGCACTCAAATGTATCTTTGTTAGATATTCATCCACCCAAAGACGTTATAAGTATTATCACCCCTCCAAGAAAATCCTTGCATATGTTTATGTCAATTTTGATGAACAAAAATCCTATTTCACCAAATTTGATATTTAGGGGGAAGACTAAAACCGAGGAAGATAAGAAAAATAAGCTTTCCCCCTTGACCTTCTAGCTCCACCTCAAATCAATCTACCCAAACCTGAAACCATAGCCAGGGAAATTAAGGACAAAGCTATTATGGTTAACATGAGATTTGGAAAGGTATATTCCAGACATACAAATCCAAAATATGTTCCAGAGCAGATACAAGAATCTAAACCTTCTCCTAAAATTGCGATAAAAACGAGTTCACCTAAAAACCTCCCATGTACCTGTAACTAATTTTGTATCCTTCCATAATTTCTCACATACACACAAAAAATTCCAAATTATACTAAATGATATTCATATTCCTAATAATATTTCTGAAACCTTATCTAATAAAAATTAGAAAAATCCAATGAAAGTTGAAATTCAGGCCCTGGAGAAGAACAATACCATGAAGATCATCGACCTGCTAGTTGAAAAAAAGACTAGTCTGCTGCAAATGGGTATTCTCTATGAAATACAAATCTGATGGTACACTGCAAAAGAGTACACTCAGACGTACGTCATTGACTACCAGGAAATGTTTGAACTTGTGGTCAAGATGAACACCGTTAGGATCCTGCTCTCCCTAGCAGCTAATTATAACGTGCATCTGTAACAGCTGGATGTCAAAAATGCATTCTTACACGGGGATTTGAAGGAAAAAAATATTTATAGAGATTCCACAATGATTCAATGAGAATTCTGGGGGTGAAAAAGTGTGTAGGTTAAAAAAATTCTATATGGGCTAAAGTAGTCATCTAGAGCTTGGTTTAGAATATTCTCAAAGGTCATGCTACTCAATGTATATTGGTAGAGCCAAAGGACCACACATTATTCTTCAAGCACTTAGACTGAGGGGGAGTCATAATTTTATTAGTTTATGTGGATGACATCATCTTGACTAAGAATGATGAAAAGTAGAAAATGATTCAAACGAAATGCCTTACTAAGAAATTTGAGATCAAAGAACTTGCTAGATTGAAATGTTTCCTAGAAATTTAAGTGGAGGAATCTTCATTTCACAACAGAAACTTAAAGAAATAAGTAAACTAGCTTGTAAACCAGCACCAATACCAATAGAACTAAATTTCAAATTGGGGGAAGCTAAAAAGGATCCAGACGTAGATAAGGGAGCTTACCAAAGACTTGTAGGAAAATTAATCTACCTTTCCCACACCAGATCAAATATAGTCTTTATTGTAAGCATGGTCAGCCAGTTCATGCAGAGCCAAAGCAGGCTCGCATGCAAGCAATAGACATAATACTACACTACCTCAAGGGAAATCCAGAAAAGGGGATTTTTATCAGAAGAGAATGTGGAATAACCCCAAAAATTTATACTAAAGCAGATTGCACAAAATCACCAGTAGATAGATGATCTATCTCAGGATATTGCACATTCCTTAGAGGAATTCTAATTACATGGAGTGAGAAACAAAATGTGATGGCAAGTTCTAGTGCAGAGACACAGTTCAGAACTATTGCCTTGGGTATATGTGAGCTATTATGGATCAAGATGATTCTAGAAAGCTAATAAGAAGTTGATGCAAAAATTTAGAAAACCCTAGGCTGAAATTTGATTTTAGCAAAACTAAAGAACATACAATAAGAAAACTAGGAATAGAAACACTCAAAACACTTTTTATTGAAAGATTTATAAATGAAATAGCAAGATACAATTGGATCTTCAATTTGAGAGAAAGATCCGCTCTCTCAAATCCCTGGCCACCGGCTAAAGCCCACCTGAATTTTCCCCCCAACCCCCTTAATTACTTCTCTAACTATTGTTGGACCCCACCCCAAAAAGGGGGTGGGGGGACTTTGAGGTTGAATGCCTCCAATAACAGGGGTTGATCGCTCCTAGACCAGTCTAACAAAGACCTAATGATCAAGTGGGAAGGACCTATGAAGCTACATTGTGGCAACAAATTAGCAATCAGCATAACTCATAATCAAGTTTAGCACAACAGGATCAAGCACATAGAAATAGATAGACATTTCATAAAGGAGAAATTGGACAGTGGACTTATCTGTATTTATCATATCTCATCAAAAGATCAGCTTGCAGACATTCTTACCAAGGGACTTGATAACTTTACCTTTTTAGGACTGATTACCAAGTTGGGTATGACTTATTCAGATTCCCCAACTTGAGGGAGATTGTCAAATATCTTCATAGCCACCCCAGTCATCCCTTCCCTCTTAATCTCATGGCCAACATGAGGATCTGTGGGAGGCTCACTTGGATCACACCAATCTCCTTTCATATTTGGGTGGCTGATTTAGTACGAATTATATTAGTACAATTATGCATTATTCTATAACTATTTATTTCCTTATTAAGATATCTTGTAAAGATTTCATAAATAGGGAGAGTTTCATGCAATAAAGTATTTTTTTTTTTCCTCTTCAATTTTCTGAATTTAATAGCAACACACCCTAGTGTTTCTCAATATAACCACCTCTAGCGAGATCATCATAGCAAGAATCACACAAGAGGGAGGCTATTAAAAATTCTCATTGTTCATATCAATCGTATTCAGCATAATAATTTGTTCAAATTCATTTAATTTTTATAAGCTCATTTATTTAAGTAGGCAAACATAAACAAGGCCTTATTCATCTTGTTTTGCTCAATAGTAGTAGCTCGATTATGTCTATATACACATAAAAACATACATATAAAAGTATATGAATGTGTGTAAGCACGTATTTATCCAATGAAATACTAATAATAATGCAATATTCAAGTTTGAAAACTCACATGACGAGATTGAACCGCTTCCTTAACTTGTCGCCTCACATCCTCCACATGACCCTACAAAAGAGTTATGCATCGTGAGCACAAGAAAAACCAATTTGTCGTCAGCAAGACTAATTAGTGCCAATTGCAGTAACAATTTATCACTCGTGTTGCTACATAAGGTAACAAATAGTTGGAACTTTATACACACCCCACATCCAGTTTGTGGTTGATGTATCATAATTCTAGCATTTGGCATGGCATAACGCATTCCCTTTTCACCTCCAGCAAGAAGCAGCGCTCCCTGGCTCGCAGCTACTCCAAAGCATACAGTTCCAACCTTGGGCTTAATCTGATAGCATAAAGTAAAAAATAGCTCAGGAGCTCAATAATTATAACAAATAATAGTCCATAACTTTACATTTCTAAGAACTTGGAATGTGAGATAAAATGCAAGAAATAAACCAATAAAATAATCAAACGCAAAGATTCTAAGCCTTCATAGACCTACTCATTAGAAGTACAAACTGATATCCTTCGTACAAAACATTTAGAAGTTTTGTAGTTTGTCATGAAATAAATCAATTAAACGACTACATACAATGGTTTGAAGCCCACATATCTACTCATGAAAAATAAAAAATAAAAAAATAACAGCCTCATACATGAATAATCCAAAAGGTTTGATGTTGCAAAAATTATGTCAAATTATAAGCAGGGGGGAGATGAATACCAAACTTCAGATAGCGATAATGGAAAGATCACCACTGTAACATAACTGTAATAAGCGGACTCAGCCTCTAAGTCTGCCTGATCTATAGCTTCATAATATCAACAATATGATGATCCGGCAGTAAAGGAAATCTGAATTTTGTCAATAGCCTCTCTACATCATAAGAACTCCTTACACTACTTCAATCTCATAAAAACCTGTATAAATACCTAAACAAAAAAAAAAAAAAAAAACATACAGAATAGGCACATGCAGCCTGCTTATGGATAGGGACTGTCATTGGACCAGCCCAACATATTATATGACCTACGTAATGTCACCAGATGAGCCCATTATTAATCTTTGGTAGAACACAAGATTTGTCTGGACCATGGCTTACAATCTCAAACTTATAAGATTAATTTAATTACCAAAGTTTAACAAGGTATCGCATCGCAGAAAAGGTCACGAGGTCAAGTTATGGCATCTCCAATTTAACTAACTGCATATGGTAAAAAAGGGGCTAATGTTGTGTTTTTTTCCACATAAGCTGGTCGCATTTGGTCCACACTTCAAAAAGCTTGCCTGTGGGAGGGTTTGCTCCAAGAGAAAGGCATTTATATATTTATATATTTTTGAGGTTTTAGTGGCTCTTTCTACTTATTAGAAATAGTTAGTAATTGAAAATTTAAATCACCGTCCGACTATCTGTTCTTGACTCGTTAATTCGAGTCTCCTGACCGAGTCGTGACAATAATTTACAAATTTGATCTTTAGATTGGTTGCTTAGCAGTGTCCATTGAACTCTCGAGGCTAGTTCTCTTCTAATATTGATGCCATGGTATAGTTCAACAAAGCATCCTGAAGCATGATAATTGATGTAGGACGTCTTGGGACTAGGGTTCACTAATGCAAGTCTAGAATCGGATGCGCAAAAAAACAAGTAAACCATAACTCACAATTTCCTGAATAGCCAAATAAAGCTATAATGCCCAAGAAGAAAACCACTGCAGAAGTAAAAGGAAACTTGTTGATGTAGAGAGACAACTGACTCCCATGTTGAAGTAAGAAACCAAGTGAAGAAGGAAACTTCCCAACCGATTATTGGATTCCGTAAAGTAGGTAAGCATAGGAAAACCACAGAGACAACATTTTCCAAATTTAACAACTATGCTGGATACAATTCATATATAATAAGGAAACGAAACAGAGAGCAACTGCTAAAGAAAGCAAGGCTTATTTCGCATGAGGCAAATCTGCACCATCAGAAGATGCAGCAGAGAATCACAAGGCAACAGCGACCCATCTCTAAAAAAACCATCACAGATACAACATCAAAGCCATAACTAGCAAGAACTAAAAACAGAGGCCATATTGAAGGAACATATTTAAATCACAGCACAGGGATCAGAAGATAATTGAATTGAAGCACTTGTAATGGTAACCAAAAATTTGTAACAGTAACCAAAACACTAGAGAACTCATCTCATTCATCAAACATCAAATAAACTAGAAAATATCAAAACTAGAATATTTAAAAAAAACAATTCAATATCATACACATGACTAGCATAATTAATGTGTAGTTTTTTAGATTTGCATCATTTATAAGGTTTGTGAAACTTTGGCTCTGATAAATTAAGTATTTGATATTTTGCATGCAAATATAGGGAAATTATTAGGCTTCTTACAAGATAATCTATAAATCATCACAAGGAGATATGTCATACCAAAGCATAAAATACTCTTGATATCTACCATCAATAAGTAGTGGATAGAATCCTTGCCTATAAGATAACATCTAGAATAAGAGAGGTGGATTTGTCCAGCAATTTGTAAGAAATGGATTTGAAAAGAGGTGAAAAAAAAAAGAGAAAAAGCTACAGCTTTAGTAGTAGATTGATAAAATAAATTAAAATTGATATATTGAAGTCTAAAATGATATTATAGAGCCCCAAATTTTATATTTCATAAATATTGACCCCAATTTGATGTATGATTTTATATGACTTCACCTTTCTAGCTAAACTATCAAAGGTTCACATATGAAGCCTTTCGAGATTTAGAAGTATAATTCCTTCATCAACTAGTTTGCATTTCAAAAATGCAGTAGACTTATAGTTGTCATAATTAATAATTAGTACTCACATTCATGTAAATCAAAAAAACCATATAAATGATGTAGCAAACCAAAAGATGCTAAAATGCCAGTATGCATCTTAATGGAAACTAATATTGACTATTATATGCCTGTATAGACAAACATTCTCTTTGAAGAAGGCTAATTCAAATAGCCTAAATTTAGTAAATGAAGATTTATGCACGTTTTTAGAAGTACAAAAAATGAAAAGTTCAATTCAAGTTTCCTTTAGGGTAATGGTCATTAAAAATTGTTTGTAATATTGACTAAATTTGATTTTCTCCACAGATCTCTCATTATAAGCTTAATATGTCAACAAACAAAGAACTAAAAAATCAAATTATTTTTAATTTTATTTGAAATAATCTTGTTGGAAACAACATCAGGAGTTACAACAGGTTGTTTAATTGACTTATCAACTAGTAGGCATGATTTGTTCACTTTTACATTCAATATTCATGTCAACAGCTTGATCAATTAACTTATTAACTATAGCGTGCATGGTCAAAAATTCCAATAATACAAGGAGTGCATCAAGATTCTTTTTCATGAGGTGTACTCCTCATGGACTAATTGATGCGAACATCCGATCATGAAGATTTCCAAAATAGGAGGCGACGATCGACGGCCGAAATCATTCCACCTTATCTTAATTTGTTATTTGTAATTTTTAATTTTATTTTGAATTTTCTCTTTTTACCCTTACTTAAGAGGGTCATCCTATGTAAGCCCTAGAGGCATATGTGTCTTATTTTAGTTTCTTAGGCCTATATATAGAGACCCTTGCTTGTGTAATGCAATGATGGATTATTAATAAAATTTTGTTTGCACTTGTGTTCTTTGAATGTACCCAACATCTATTATTAGTTTTGGACTTTAAGATAAAGGGGCAGATAATAAAAAATAAAGTAAAACGATTTTCTAGGATTAGATGGGGGCATTTAAAGAATATTAACAAAAATATTTTTGAGAGTAAGATTTTAGATCTTAAGATTTTATCTGTGTATGAGGATGCTAATGTTATGTGTGAAAAAGTGGCTACTGATATTAAGAATATTGCAAAAGATGTGCTTGGAGTATTAAAGAGAAAAGCTCCTAAT